CTTCACTATTTATTTGTATATTGACCTAGTGCAGAAACACTATAACGTGTTCAAATATTCTAAATGTCATTGACTTCACTATTTATTTGTATATTGACCTAGTGCAGAAACACTATAACGTGTTCAAATATTCTAAATGTCATTGACTTCACTATTTATTTGTATATTGACCTAGTGCAGAAACACTATAACGTGTTCAAATATTCTACCTGTCATTGGCTTCACCATTTATTTGTATATTGACCTAGTGCAGAAACACTCTAACGTGTTAAAATATTCTAAATGTCATTGACTTCACTATTTATTTGTATATGTCTGAATGTTAAAGAATAGCTTTAGGATGCTAGCAATGCAAAATAATTATTTCTTTGAAATAACAAAACTATACCTATATATATTTAAGTCTATGAAAAGCGAGTTTCATGCAGTCTGTTTGTGTTCGTTAAGCACTGTTTACTTTCATCCACCACCGCTTTTCATTCTAATTTTTCTTGCTTTCTCTTTATAGGATGTAAAACTATGACGAATTTTCGGTTTGTACTGAATCATAAAAGATTTAAGTGAACATACGTAATTTGGTCATTTTTAATTCGTGTAAATTTCTACATCAAATGAGGATTTTTTTTTCTTATCTTGTTTGTTTGTTTGCTGCAACTTCAGCAGTTAGCCGTAACACAGACGAAGTCTTCATTGATTAAAATGTGTTCATAACACTCTGGATATGTACTCTACTGTCACCTACATTATTTAATTTGGAATACAATGGACACTCATTCACGATAGTTACTTGTCATCAACATGTACGTAGTTTTTCCACTAGAAGATATATTATAATAACTTCTAAAATTACCATGTCCATTTCATCTTTCTAACATCTTCGTAATTTCAGGAACCATGAAATGTAATTGGTAAATATCTCAATAGGAAACCTACAACAGCATAATTCGTAGGATAGAAATATACATCAACAGTACACTCCGAAGTTAGAAATATGTCTGAATAACATACTCTATGGTAGACTAGAAATATACATCAACAGCACACTCCGAAGTTAGAAATATGTCTGAATAACATACTTCTATGGTAGACTAGAAATATACATCAACAGCACACTCCGAAGTTAGAAATATGCCTC